CAGGGAGTGGAGGTTGGGGGTGTCCGGGGCTGGCTGGGAGCTTTCGCTTGACAGAGCCAACATCTGCCAGAGCAGAGAGAGGAAATTCAGGACGGATCCTCTGACCGTTGCCCCATCAACCACGCGGCTGCAGCCCAGCGGCTCAGTTTCCTGTGTGATCTCAGCCCAGCCCCTCACCCCCTGCCCGCGACTTCCCTGCATCCTCTCAGTCGGACACGATGGAGGACGAGGAAGGATACACGGCATTGAACCTGCGGCCCAAGCGGGGCGGCTCAGGCGGCCTGTCCCCAGCCGGGAACGAAGGTAGGGATTTCAACCCCCTCCTTCCACCTACGGGCTCCATCTCCTGGCAGCAGGGGCAGAGCCGGGGCTGGGACCCCATATACAGGCCAGGGGACGGCAGAGTCTGGCCATGCGGTTATATCACAGGGTGGGGGAGCGCCGAAGACAGAGGCAAAGAGCGTGGGGGATCCCCCAAGTGACAGAGCGAGAGTGGAAGCGGTCATGGGGAGCTTTCCCCTCTGGAAGCCAAAAAGGTGGGTCAATGGGGGAAACTGAGGCACGGATCAGGGAAAAAATCTTTCATAAGGACACACCCACTATACCCCATTCCCCTCCCCCAGCTGGAAATATAGCCCAGGTGTCCTGGCTCCCAGCCCCCTCCCCCAGTGCTCTGACCCACTAGACCCCACTGCTCTGCCAGGGTTGAGAATATAACATAGGAGTCCTGGATCCCAGACACATCCTGCTCTAACCACTAAACCCCACTCCCCTCCCAGAGCCAGGGATAGAACCCAGGCATCCTGGCTCCCAGCCCCTGCTGCTCTAACCCATTAATTCTCACTCCCTTCCAAGAGTAGGGGCTAGAACCCAGGCGTCCTGGCCCCCAGCCCTACTGCTCCAACCTACTAGACCTCGTTTCCTGCCCATATCTGGTCATAGAAACCAGGGTTTCAGGTGGGGTTTGCAGAGTTTCGAAAACAGTGGTTCTTGCGATTCATGGAGCAGCGCCCTGCTCTCAGAGCCATCGGTGGAGGCTCTCTGCAAACTCAGGCAGCGTTGCTGTATCAGTAACACTTGGGGTCACATTTTCAATCTTTTCTCCCCTTCCGTGAGGGCTGAAAACTATCTTTCTCTCGCTGTGTGTCTGTGCAGCGCCCGGCACAACGGGGCCCTGATCTCAGCT